TCGATTTAAATGCAATAATATATACTACTAATATTAATTTCATAATTTCATAATAATAATATAATAATATTTTATTTTTACTTCTATAATAATATAATATATGYAACGTAAATAAAACAATAGTATATTATTTTAATTATATTATTTTAGAAGTAATGAATTAATAATATTTCAGTATTATTATCATTACATTTTTGCTACCTGGGTTAGTATTTAATATATTTATATATAAAATAATAACAAATTTTTAGTAATTTTAGTAATAATAATTGAAAAATGTAAATGGATTTTGAGTGAAGAGTGCATAATGTGTATATTGTAAACAAATAATACATTAAATAAAAATAGAATAATCAGGCTCAAATAGGATATATTTACAGGATGGGTTATGGTGATATACGCCTCTCATTAAATATAATTGAAAAAATAAAATATTTTAATTATTAACAGATATAATATGCATCGGAGAATCACCAGAATTCACTCTGTATAAAAAAACCATAAGTATAAGTAATTTAGAAAATATACAATATAATATACAATTTTTGACAGGCAAATTCAGTATTATATTGGCATGCCCTCAACTGATAAACACAGTATTATTACATAACATTACTGAAGTTCACGCAGACGCAACTTTTAAAGTAGTCACATCAAATATGGGTAGCCAGATTCTAAGCATTCATTGCATGATTAATAATTCTGTAAGTGTTAATATGTATAATTTAAAATAATAGGTAGTTAATTTATTTTAATTCTTAAATAATGTTATGGTAATTTAACCGAGATTAATTTTCCTAATTACCTAACAAATAATCAAAAATTTCTAATTATATTTTTCAGTCTATACCAATTGCTTATGCATTGATGGAATCAAAATCTAGAAATTCCTATCAATGTGTTCTAGACTTTATGAAGGCAAATCTACTTCCTAACCTTAACCCTGACATTATAATCACAGATTTTGAACCAGCCTTAAGAGATTCACTTCTATCTTCTTTAGGTGTAAAAGGAACCAGAGTTATGGGATGTTGGTTTCATCACAATCAGGTTGATAATATAATTTTAATAACACTTACATGTTACATAAAAAAAAATACATATATGTATATATCATAATATTTAACTTGTGAATATATTTAAATTACTCAATTGTTATTACAATGGTAAAATTGAATTATATTAACTTAGTTAAATTAAGTTACACATATTTTTAATACTTACACTAGTCCTATTTTCATCTTTGGCGCACCATTATTTTCAAATAAAATTATGAAGTCAACAAATTTAAATCTATTTAATATTGTAAAAATAAATATTTATTGCATTTTTTTTTTTATATTTACCAACTTGTTTTGATTAAATTATTAATTAGGCTGTATGGAAGAAAATGAAGTCTTATAATTATTTGGCAACTGTTAATTCAAATCAGTATGCATTAAAATCTTTGAGGATGCTCATGTGTTTGCCTCTATTGCCGGGAGCAGAAATTGAGCAAGGGTTTTTGCTCATTATTAAAGCATATGCTATCAATCATAATGTACCAATGCCAAACCTTTTCAACTATTATCAAAGGTAACTTAATTTTAGACAAATTTAATTTAATTAAAAAAGATTAAAATTAAACATTAAACTAATTAACTACTTTTCTTATATTTTTTATTCTATTTACAGTTATTGGATAAGACGTGTTGGTGTAAATATTTTATCAGTTAATGGCATCCCTAGAAGGATAATATAATTATGTTGATTTTAATTACTAGGTCAAATATGTGCGCTGAGTGTAAAGTGCCATACGATGGTTACACAGCTGGAAAATGGCCAACAACCTACGAGAAATTTAAAAACAAAATACCTTATAAATTCCAAGCGCATCAAACAGGCAACTGAACACCATGAAGCTTGGTATACTGAGTGTTTGGCAATTTTTGGTAAAATGCTCTCATTTTTGTGCAACTTATGAACTTAGGCTAAGGAATTGGGCACTGAGTATTCAAAATKGTGAAGAGTCGGATGATAATGAAGTAGCTGAAAATGACATTAATGAAATTCCTCCGGTAAACATTTTAACAGAACAAAAYGAAGAACCTGAACCAAATCGCCCAATTAGCCCCAGTGTCTGCATGGCATGTAACATAGTTACAACCATGGCTAAATAACTAGGTATGATCTTAGTTCCGTGATACGCATGTCGATGACGTCAGCCGGAAGGAGTTCTTAAACNGTATGATCTTAGTCCCGTGATACGCATGTCGATGACGTCAGCCGGAAGGAGTTCTTAAACCCGCCAAAACGGCTGGCTGTGCCCTAAAAGTTTACTGCCGGTTGACGTCATAATTCAATGTAAAGAATGATAAATTAGCTGTTTCTTCCATGAATGCGCTCATTGAACCAAATTTGGTAATTATGTGATCATACCTAGTTATTTAGCCATGGTTACAACCATAGAAAACAAATATATAGAATGCCAACTTGCCCCGTTTTTTGATACTAGCGCGACACTAGCGCAGCGATTGAACCTCTATTGCAACAAAAATCGATAGTGCATATAATCGATATTAATATCGATTACTATCATTATCGATACTAAATGTTTATTAAATTTTCATTTTTCATTATTCAAATTAAAAATAKAAAAAAAATCACCATAAAACAAATTAGTAAATTAATCAATTTATTTTTACAATCAATTTACATTACAAAACTTAATAAAAACAAATAGTCACAGGAACATATTATATATGAATAAATAATAAAACAAAAAACAATAAATATGTAGATATAGTAATTATCTGTGATATTTGTAGACTGCACAAAATAAAAATAGTCATAGGATCATAATATTATAAAATAAAAAAACAATAAATAAAAAATAAATAAATGAATAAAATGATTTTAAAAAATGTCAGGTTTTTTGTTGATATATTATCTTTTTCTTAGTTTTAAGTAATATTGATGAGCTGACACTTTAAATGCATCACTTTTACACATATTATTCCTATCTAAGCCAATTAAGATACGATTGATATTTTTAACATAATATGTAAATAGAAAGAAATTTTTAAATTTATTATATACTAAACTTTTTAAGTCATGTTTTGGACAATCTATTTTAAAATCTACATTAATTTCAAAAAGTAAAATTAAATGTTTACCTATATGTTCTTGACTGATATTGGGTAAAATATTTTTGGTTACATAAAACATCTGATTAATAATATTTTTGAATACATCTGAAGGATAGAGTAATGATTTTTTGGTATGATCCATAGTTTGAGTTAGATCATTGTTTTTTACTTGACCAACCAACTCATTTTTACAGAGTCTACAAAAATCTGTGTCTTTTAGTACTGAACGAGCCAAATAACCACATACATACCCTATTGTCATATCAGTAAGAAAAGATGCATCTAATGTTGTTGGTACATCAATCATCGATATTGTTATTAAGTTATCATTAACATCATCTTCACTAAGAAGGCTATCAGAACCACTTTCAATAAATTGTCTTAAGTTATATAATGCATTTTCACTATCATCATGCTCACAATTTCCAGCTGATTTTATAGACATAAAGTTATTTATCAATAACGTTTTAAAAGAATAAATAAATTGGTAATAATTAGGATTAATGTTTCTTACACCATGACTACGTATACTACCAAATAAACACTYTAATGGATCTTGGTTAACATGTCTAGGTAAAAAATGTCTTAAATTAGATTTTCTCAACTGATGCCAAAGATAAAATAAAAGATTTTAGAGAAAATATCCAATTTTTAACGGAAGGTGGTATCATGGTAAACATTGGTTTTGTTGATAAATTTCATTGTTTCAAATACTTTGATGGCATACCTCCAGTGATCAACATGTGGGGATCCATCTCTTACAGCACTTCTTAACGGCTTTCCCAACTCAGAATTAATTGTTCTTCCATTCACTGAGTCAAAAGTCTTATCCATAAAAAGACAAAACTTGGCTGTACCAACAGCATTGGCCAGTACACAGTGTTTTGGAGCTAAAAAGTTTATAATAATATTAGTAACCTAATTATGTTTATAGAACTAATTGATATACATACCACTATCGGACACCAGTTTCATTATTGATGCAACTTTGTGACTAAACACCTGTGCAGCATTTGAAACTTTCATTTTACTTCTTTGGATGTTAATGTGATTGTCATTCAACTTGACCAGAGTTCTGAGTTCGAATTCTTCGTTTTGTTTGTCGTGCTCATATACAGCCTAAATGTGGTTAAGTAGGTGAGGTGGGTCATAAATTGGGATTATTTCTTTGCCTTCGATTTCAAATCCCAAATTTGTTTTTTTCTTGTTGAGAACTGCATATCTGTTTAGTGTTTCAGTCATTAAAAAGTTAATTGCAGCCCTATTTGGTCCTCCTTGGTCACAAACAGTAGCTACAATATTAAGTCCTGTTTTGTTAACACTTGTGATGACTGTTTTTAAATAAGAGACTAAAAAATCACTAGTTTTTGTAGTGCTGTTACAGAAGTAGTAGGCATATGGTTGTTTCCATTTCTTCACAATGCCTCTTAACATGAAAACAAGAACATGATTTGAAAACTTGGGCTGCTGTGTTGTGTTAGGTTCAGTTTTCTGAAGGCCAAATATAATATCATGTTTCTTATCGTATTTCAATCCAGCACTTAAGGACWTTTCATCAAAAATCAAAATACATTTCTTGTTGGTGTTATGTAATTTTGTAGCTTGAAATTTCAAATTTTCCTCTATGTGTGGATTTACTCCTGGTTTAAAGGGAATTCGATTTAACATTGAATTTAATGTGGATCTTGATGGTAGTGCAAAAATTGAAGACAAAAATCTATAGCCTTTGGGTGAAGTTTTATATAAAGAAAGTGATAAAATTTTATCATCTAATGTATATCTTCTTCCCTTTGGCCTTTGTTTTTGAATATTGACTTGAGTTTTAATGAAGTTCAAAGTTGTGTTGTTAAGTTTCTCAGACAAGTTGTTACAACTATCAGAAGTTACTAACTTTTTGGCATATTTCATTTGTTGTTTAAATGATAAATTTTTTTTACTCATAAGATTAACTTTTTTGATTAATTTCTTGGCCACTGTATACAACTTTACTTTTCTTGGAGTCATATCTGCCTTTCTTCTTATTCCAATACTACTTAACAATTTTGTCTTCCTGGTTGTAGACAATTTAATAATTTGCATTGTACATGATTCTGTAAAGAAAATGATAAATACAAATATTAAATTGCCTATTATKAATCACACTAATAATCATGGTTGGAATGTATAGTATAGTATATAAAATATTTAAAAAAAGAACGACTTTGTTCCTACTTATTTAAAATTCGGATTTTTAAAAAAAAAAAATAAAATGATACAAAACCATTGATTGTTAAATTGTATTTGATTTTTAAATTTAATATTAAATATAAAATAAATGGATATACATTTTATGCATTATACGGTAGGTATGATACGCGTAATGTATAAAACGTTTATGACACATATCCACGGTTATCTACTCAGGTTAGGAATCGGCGTATGCCTATTCATTGCGAGCCACGGCCCCGTGGCGTGACTGCGAGTTAACAGCGCTAGTAGTCATAGTACCGTCAATATTCAGTATTTAATATTTATCTTAATACCTAGTATACCTACAACATGGCTGCATAGTTCGTAAAGTTCGTTAGCGTGCGTATCATAGATAAAAGATAAATTTAATGTGCGTATATCCAAAACTAAAAAAAGTTTTGAATAGTTTTGATGAATTTGATGTTTTGACGTTTTGTTGGCGATTTGCTAAGTTTCTGTGAAAGACGTAATACAGGTAATCCGAAATTTAACAGTGTAAAACTATATAAAATTAGTTATTGTTACAAACTAACTGTTTTAAGTAAAGAATACTGAATAGTTATTAGATATGGGCCGGTGCTGTGTAGTTGGGTGCACGTCGGGGTATAAAAGTAATCCAGAAAAGGTGTCAAAATTTGCTGCACCTCGTGATCCAGAGTTAAGGAAAAAATGGTCAAATGCTATACCTAGATTAAATTATACTGTAAACGATAAGTCATATGTGTGTGAAAAACATTTTGCTCCAGAAGAAATTATTAGATATTGGGAATCTGGCACTGAATCAACATTAYTTGTCAAGGTAAGTAATTTATTATATTAATTCTTATATTTAGAAATATGCATAGGTAGTAGATAGTTACATTTTAGTTTTAAATCAGTAAATTAAGTGTATAGGTTATTAGGYCCTATCTAAAATAGTTTTATGCTTTCAATAATATAAATCATATTCATTGTCAAATAAAAAATTCAATGAAGAAAATATACTTGTTTTTATTTTATGAAGGACATTGATGCTTACATATATAAGTACCTGCTTAATTCAATTAGAAATATGATATTTATCAATGGATACAATTTAAATTATAGTAAAACTTTAATATGATATTAATAATACCTATACATAGGTGAACATTATCATTTTATATTGAAGTTTAAATAATAATCAGTAAGTTATTATTGATACAATTAGGAAATACAATCTCAGATAAGAAATTAAAACCTTTTGAATAAATAATATTTTTTTAACTGTGGGTACCTAATAATTAGGTAAACCTACCTGGTTACCATACACACCTACCCAGGGGCGTCATTTGGAATAAAACCATAAGGTAGCAACATTGGAAAACCTATGATAGATGACTAATTAGCTTTATCAACCCCTCAA